CCCCGAGACGGGCCAAGAGGTCCCCAAGAGGCCCCCACGATGGTACTACAGGGCCCCGAATCGGCCCAGGAGTGCTCCAAGATGACCAGGATGGCCTCGGGATGGCTCAAAAGGCCGCCAAAGATACCCCGAGAGAGCGGCCCTAAGATGCCAACATCACTGATGTTCCTCCAGTCCTCTGGTGCTTGAAAGGTTTTAGCGTTCCCGCCGTTTCGAGCCGCCCCCGACGCTCCGAGACTGCCCAAGAGGCCTTCAGGATAGCCTCAAGACGGCCCAAGAGGCCCCAACACCCCAGGCGGCCCAAGAGGGCCTCAACGATGTTGACCTCCGCACCCCAAGAGAGACCCGTAAAAGGGCCTAACAGACGGTCCCTAAAAAGCGTCCCAAGGAGCGCCCCAAGAGCGTCCCAAAAGGGCCCCTGGAGACGATGCTCCGGGCCCTGACGGGGCGAAGGTCATTAACGCCGCCCCCTTGTTGGGTCGATGTCCTCCAGGATGGACCAGAGAGGGCCCTCTTGGCCTCCAATAGGAGGCCAAGAGAGCCCAAGGCCTCCAAAATGACTCCCCGACGGGGCGCCCCACGATGGCCCAGGGAAGAGGCTCGCTCCCAGATCAGCAGATCCGCGACGGCCTGCATGGTGGACTCCTGGGTCTACCCGGGCCGATCCCGAGCTTCGGTTGGACGGCTGCCCCTCCTCCTCCTCCTCCTCCTCCTCCTCCTCCTCCTCCTCCTCCGCCTCGCCTCCGCCTCCTCCTCCTCCTCTCCTCCTCCTCCTCCTCCTCCCTTCTCCTCCTCCTCCTCCTCCTCCTCCTCCTCCTCCTCCTCTTACGCGTCCTCTGATGGAGGCAACTTGCCCAGGGATTCCCCTTCGCCAACGTCGTCGGAAGCGGGGCCGCGCGCGAGCGCCTCCCGTTTTCCTGGGCGGGGGCGCATTCCAATACCAACACCAATGTGTTGTTGTGATTGCTGCTGTTGTTGAATACCCATTTCTAAAGAATGATTATAGCCGGAGTGCAATATCCCCAAACAGGGTTTTTAGACCCACTGCGGTTTCCAAGGTCGATCGCGTGCCCGTCCAGTGCGGGCTGGCATGGCATATTAAAACATGCCTCCTCCTCCTCCTCCTCCTCCTCCTCCTCCTCCTCCTCTTCATCCCGAAAGGTATCTCGGAGCCCAGAGTTGCGAGGATGTCTCCAGCGTAACGGGCTGGACCACCTCGCGCGCGGCATTTCGGACCCTAGATTTGCGACGATGTCTGGGGCGAAACGTGCTGCGAGAAAGTCTCAGGCGAAACGGGCCGGACCACCTCGAGCGCGGCGTCTCAGAGCTCCGAGTTGCGGGGGCCTCCTGGTGCCTCCTGGGGCCTCCTGGGACCTCCTGGGGCTTCCTCCTGGGCCTCCTGTGGCCTCCTGAACTCCACCTGGGGTTTCCTGAAGCCTCTTGGGGCTCCCAGGGGGGATATCTAACCTGTGGCCGCTTGGGCCCCTCAAAATACAGGGGGGCCACAAGAGCAGGAAAAATCAACGAATCGACACCGGATGTGTATTAACTTGACACGTTCTGATAGGGGGCCTCCTGGGGACTCCTGGGAGCCTCCTGGGAATCTCCTGCGGACCCCTTGGGGCCTGTCCTGGGCGTCCTGCGGCCTCCTGAAGCTCTCTGGGGCCTCCCCCTCCTCCTGCCTGCTCCCTCATGCACATCATCCGCCTCCTCCTTCTCCCTTCCATCTCCCTCCTCCTCCTCCTCCTCCTCCTCCTCCTCCCTCCTCCTCCTCCTCCTCTTCATCCCGAACGGCATCTCGGAGCCTAGAGTTGCGAGGATGTCTCCAGCGTAACGGGCTGGACCACCTCGCGCGCGGCATCTCGGACCCCAGAGTTGCGACGATTTCTCGGGCAAACGTGCTGCGAGGAAGTCTCAGGCGAAACGGGCCGGACCACCTCGAGCGCGGCGTCTCAGAGCTCCGAGTTGCGGGGGCCTCCTGGTGCCTCCTGGGGCCTCCTGGGGACCTCCTGGGGCTTCCTCCTGGGCCTCCTGTGGCCTCCTGAACTCCACCTGGGGTTTCCTGAAGCCTCTTGGGGCTCCCAGGGTGGATATCAAACCTGTGGCCGTTTGGGCCTCTCCAAATGGAGGGGGGGGCACAAGAGCAGGAAGAATCAACGAATCGACACCGGATGTGTATTAACTTGACACGTTCTGATAGGCGGCCTCCTGGGGCCTCCTGGGAGCCTCCTAGGAATCTCCTGGGGACCCCTGGGGCCTGTCCTGGGCGTCCTGCGGCCTCCTGGAGCTCTCTGGGGCCTCCCCCTCCTCCTGCCTGCTCCCTCATGCACATCATCCGCCTCCTCCTTCTCCCTTCCATCCTCCTCCTCCTCCTCCTCCTCCTCCTCCTCCTCCTCCTCCTCCACCTCCTCTTCATCCCGAACGGCATCTCGGAGCCTAGAGTTGCGAGGATGTCTCCAGCGTAACGGGCTGGACCACCTCGCGCGCGGCATCTCGGACCCCAGAGTTGCGACGATGTCTCGGGCGAAACGTGCTGCGAGGAAATCTCAGGCGAAACGGGCCGGACCACCTCGAGCGCGGCGTCTCAGAGCTCCGAGTTGCGGGGGCCTCCTGGGGCCTCCTGGGACCTCCTGGTGACCTCCTGGGGCTTCCTCCTGGGCCTCCTGTGGCCTCCTGGACCCCACCTGGGGTTTCCTGAAGCCTCTTGGGGCTCCCAGGGGGGATATCTAACCTGTGGCCGTTTGGGCCTCTCCAAATGGAGGGGGGGGCACAAGAGCAGGAAAATCAACGAATCGACACCGGATGTGTATTAACTTGACACGTTCTGATAGGCGGCCTCCTGGGGCCTCCTGGGAGCCTCCTGGGAATCTCCTGGAGACCCTGGGCGTCCTGCGGCCTCCTGGTGCCTCCTGGGGCCTCCTGGGGACCTCCTCGAGCTTCCTCCTGGGCCTCCTGTGGCCTCCTGAACTCCACCTGAGGTTTCCTGAAGCCTCAGGGGGGATGTCTAAACTGTGGCCGCTGGGGCCCCTAAAACTGGAGAGGGGGGGGGCACAAGAGCAGGAAAAATCAACGAATCGACACCAGATGTGTATAAACTTGACACGTTCTGATAGGCGGCCTCCTGGGGCCTCCTGGGAGCCTCCTAGGAATCTCCTGGGGACCCCTGGGGCCTGTCCTGAGCGTCCTGCGGCCTCCTGGACCTCTCTGGGGCCTCCTGAGGCTCGCAGGGTCCCATGGAGGATATGTAACATGTGGTCTTCTGGGCGCCCAGGCTGGACCACCTCTCGCGAAGCATCTGAGAGCTCAGAGTTGCGAGAATGTCTTGTGCGAAACAGGCCGGACCACCTTGCGCACGGCATCTCAGAGCTCAGAGTTGCAAGGATGTCTCAGGCGAGACGGGCCAGACCACCTCGCGCAGGGCATCTCAGAGCTCAGAAGTTCGAGGATGTCTCAGGCGAAACGGGCCGGACCACCTCTCGCGCGGCATCTCCGAAGTCAGAGTTTCGAGGATGTCTCAGACGAAACGGGACGGACCACCTCTCGCGCGGCATCTCCGAAGTGAGAGTTTCGAGGATGTCTCAGGCGAAACGGCCCGGACCACCTCTCGCACGGCACCTCGGGGCTCAGAGTTTCGAGGATGTCTCAAGCGAAACGGCCCGGACCACCTCTCGCGCGGCGTCCCGGAGCGCAACTGTTCGAGGATGTCTCAGGCGAAACGGCCAATCCCGGCCAACTCAGAAACGAGAGTTGTGAGGATGTCTCAAGCGAAACGGCCAAAACCATAGATTTGTTGTGAGGATGTCTCTGCTCCGCGTTCCCTCGGCCGGAGTTAGTTTCTATCACAACAGCACCCCGTTCAGCAAGCTGTTTGAGGAATTAATATTGATGTCCGGAAATTGTTCCACGCGTTCTCGCCTCGACGCCAGCTACATTTTCTCTGGAAACGAGGCTCCCGCTCGAGCGTTGGCTTGAGCCTAAATGTGGGCCATTGGAGGCCCAGCTACGACAACAGCGGCTCCCGCTCGAAATTTCCTCACACTTTCCCCCGAGACACCCTGGCCAGAGAGGCCCCCGAACTCAGGCACGGCGCCCTCGCTCGAGACTTCCTCGCAATTCAATTAAGTTGGCAGAGGCCCAGCCACGACGACAAGGGCTCCTGCTCGATACTTCCTCACGATTTACTCCGAGAGCTCCTGGCCAAGAAGGCCCCCGAACTCAGGAACGGCGCTCTCGCTCGAGACTCTCCCGTAATTCAAGCAAATTGGTGGAGGCCCCGACACAGCGACAAGGGCCTCCGCTCAATATTTCTCCATAGGTATTCCGCGAGCCCCTGGCCAGAGAGGCCCCCGAACTGAGGAACGGCGCTCTCGCTCGAGACTCCATCGCAAGTCAATTTGGTTGGCAGAGGCCCAGCACGACGACAAGGGCTCCTGCTCGGTACTTCCTCACTATTAACTCCGAGAGCTCCTGGCCACGAAGGCCCCCGAACTCAGGAACGGCGCTCTCGCTCGAGACTCTCTCGCAAGTCAAGCAAGTTGGTGGAAGCCCAGACACGGACAAGGGCTCCCGTTCGATATTTCTCCATTAGTATTCAGAGAGCCCCTGGCCAGAGAGGCCCCCGAACTCAGGAACGGCGTTCTCGCTCGAGACTTCTTCGCACTTCAGTCAATGGCGGACAAGGACGAGATTCCCCCCGAAAGAGGGTGCAATCGAAGACGAAGTGGGCGGGTATCGAGGGTTGGGGCATACGGAATGCAAGACACGCGTGCCAGTAAGAGCGAACAGTATTAAAAATATTGGTGTTGTTGGTGTTGGTGTTGTTCTTGGTGGTGTTGCTGATGTTGCGTGAATGTGCAAGGGCCCGCTGGCTCGTTCAAGCTGGCTGCATGGGCGCTTCCCCAGCTCATCCTCGTCCTCCCCCTCCTCCTCCCCCTCCTCCTCCTCCTCCTCCTCCTCCTCCTCCTCCTCCTCCTCCTGGTCCCCCCCTTCTCCTCCCACAGGCACCTCAATACAGGCGTCAAGACAGCAGCAGATGAAGAGAACGAAGACTAAAACGCGGTCCAAAGGCTCGACCAAAACAGAAGCAGACAGCGACGCCAACAACCGCGAGAAGCTGCTCTTCGGCCTCTCTCCCTGCCAGCTGTGCAAAAAAAGCCTCATCCTGCGAGCAGACGCGGAGAACTGAGTATCGTTTAACCGATCACTCTCCCCAGCGGCGTGGCCTGGGCCCCACTGGCCGATTTGCCCCCCGCGATGGGGATTTTTATCCCCAACTGGGGGGGGTAATTTGGTGGGGGTCTCGAAGGGGATGGGGATTGGTATGGAGGTCGGATAAACGATGCTGAAGAATGGATCCCTCGGGGATGGCTCTCCCGATCCGCAGGTTCAGGCAGCCAACAGGGTCCACCCGCCAAGCGGCGAGGCGAGGCAGCCCGCACACAGGCAGCACGTGCAGACCACCGCGCACAGCACCAGGCCTTGGGAGCACCCCCTGCGATTCCAGCTGGCTCCACGGACGGATCCTGACCAGGATCCAGCCGCCCCGATCTGATGGCCTGTTTTCCACCACCACCACCACCACCACCACCACCACCACCACCACCATAAGTAGGAGGGTAAGGGGGTCCTCCTCCTCCTCCTCCTCCTCCCCCCCTCCTCTCCCTCCTCCTCCACCTCCACCTCCACCTCCACCTCCACCTCACCTCCACCTCCTTTCT